CCCCCCGCCAACCACTATCAGTTGCAGCAAGTCACAATGTGTCCATCATCCAGCAGCAAGCTACGCAGGTAAGTGTTAGTGTTAACTGTTTCTCTATAACACATGTTAGTGTTAAAAGTTTTTCTATGACACATTACACATGTTAGTTTTAACTGTTTGTCTAGACACATGTTAGTGTTAGCTGTTTCTCTATGACACATGTTAGTGTTAGCTGTTTCTCTATGACACATGTTGATATCTGTTTCTTTATGACACATGTTAGTGTTAAATGTTTCTCTATAACACATTTTAATGTTAACTGTTTCAATATGACACACATTAGTGTTATCTGTTGCTCTAAGACATGGGCTAGTGTTAACTATTTCGCTATGGCACAAGTTAATGTTAACTGCTTCATTATGACACAGGTTAGTGTCATCTCTTTCGTATTTTACAACTTAATGTTAGTGTTAACTGTCTTGTTATGTCGTTAACTGTTTCGATTTCTTGCGATTTGCAGCCCATTCCCTTACCCCAAGTGTTTCTGACTTATTTCTTCCTTTCCACTACTTCTCCTCCTCCGTAGACAAACCGGTGTGTAGCTGCTCCTTGAAAATATTATGTTCGAAAAAAAAAGGTAAATAAATCTCAACGTATAGCAACATAGCAGTGGTGCCTACATAACAGTGGCTGGCCTACATAACAGTGGTGCCTACATAACAGTGGCTGGCCTACATAACAGTGGTGCCTACGCCTACATTACACTAGTGTCGCCTACAGAGGCCATTAACAGACTCCTAACTGCTAGCAAGCACTACTGACCTGACCAAGCGTGATGAGTTCTACGAGATCTGACTTCTGAGTGTGCTGAAATAACCGTTATTGTGACCGCTCGCCGTAAAATTCTATTGTACAACAGGTCGTCCACTTATTGTGGCGGTTGATAATACTTTTTTTCCGCCCCCATTGCCTCATTTTTAGATCTCTTAGACGATGGGCTTCTTCGACTTTGCCTGCCGGGGACAATCTTGACCGTGCGAAATACACCGGAGCAGAAAGTTCGGGATACTAAGACTGGGATATTAAGACTGGGATACTAAGTTTGGGACACTAAGATAAGGATACGAAGATTGGGGTGAGAAGACTGGAAACCAAAGACTGGGAAACTAAGATAAAGATACTAAGATTGGAATAGCAAGACTGCAAACCTTAGACTGGAATGCTCCGTGAAACATTCTGCGTAGGGGAAACTGATCTCATGTCTTTTGCGTGCATGATCGAGAGCCTTATCCTCACACCACTGATGTCGTGACTTCGTTCTAGGCACCATGAGCGTGTGTGCACGCATGTGCTCGTGTGCTGTTTGTCCGGTGACAGACTTCAGAATATTGAACCGAGTCCAAGTGAATACATGCATCAGTATGTCATGGAGGCTCTGCATGGTGTGGTCCGTTCCTTTAACTTCTCTTCAATTTCCTAGATCTTGTCTGTTGTCCCAGTCCGGTGGTGGTTGAAGAGCACCACTGATAGGCTAGGTAAGGGGCGAAGGCTGACTTGTTTGACAGGGTAATCAAAGTGAAACGGGACCAGATATGACCTGTAGATATGACACAAGAATCTTACTCGAGGCGGCGACTCTGAGTTGTGAATGAAACCAAATCCGGAATTCATATTGTATGTTCAACCGCCAAAATAATCGGGAAAGTATCTTATTAAATATCAGTTCCAACTAAAATTAAATTTAACTTTAGATGTGAATACATAAACACAAAGCAAAGAAGCAGAGACGTCAGTACTAAATCTATATGTTATAGATCTACCAGTGAGTCTAACTCTTTGGTAGAACATGACAATTATCATTTTTTAAATTTTACATTTGGCTGTTTTTGTTAGCCTTCCGCGGCCAGGAGCTGGTGTCATAATCGAGGTCACGATCTGATTATAGGACGGTAAAAAGTCGAGGAAAAAAAGCAAGCACTTGCAACAGTGAAGAGATTGTTAGGAGTTAGTTCCCCTCACATTTGTGAGGTAGACTCGACCAGTGTTAGTTAGCTTACATAATCAGGGCTTGAGATTGATTTTAACTGTGACCCCAAAGGGGTGAACAGAGTATATGTGACAATGAAATAGCTTAGACTGCTATGCACATGTTCCCTTCAACTATATTGGTGGACTCTCCCAGCCTCACTTTAAGCTTACTTAATCAACGCTTGCGACTGCTTATGGAGTGGCCTGAGAGGGGTGAGGAGGCTATTTCTATGGCCGTGAAACCGTTTCGAATGTTAGGCATAGGCCTACTGTTCATTGTTGATTACGAACGTCTTTTGACATTTAATTTAAGAGGTTTACGTTTATGGATGAATTTGACAGCGACAATGTTTCAAAATTAGGAAGGGAAGCAGTGATTATTTGATTATATAGACGCTTCGCCCCTGGGCTAGGTCCTGCTTCTTTTCTTTCCCTTCGTTGTTTCTGTCTGTGTAAGGGATTGGAGGGCCCTACTGTTAGGTTCTACTTCTATTCTTTCCCTCAGTAAGTTTCTGTCTGTTTGTCTGTCTTACTTTTCCCCGTCGCTGGGTGACCATTATTGTATTCATGTGCTTGTCCTTACTCAAACTTCAATAACGGTCTTGTGTCGTTCCAGGTACCTGCAGAAGTGCACGACCACCAACCTGTGGCAAAGACGCCAAGCCAAACTACTAAAGTGGAGAACGTCCAACGCTGGTGCGACCAACATCACCCAAGCCACCACAAGCCCGAGCATATACCCACCTCCAAGCTGGGCAGTATTCTCGTTGATAAAAAACACAAACTCCTGTTCTGTGCGATTCCTGGAGTGGCCATGAACGATTGGCGAAAAATCCTCCTCATTACGAATGGTGTGGTGAATACGACCAAGGTGAGCTCCATTGTCGGAGGGGATGTCTTCGGAAAGTACGGAAAAAGTGTCAAGAAACTCAGCGAGTTCAGCTCAAAGGAACGAGTCGAGATGCTGACCAAATATTACAAAGTCATGTTCGTTCGAGACCCTCTGGAGAGGCTGGTGGCCGCCTATACGGGCAAACTCGCCCCTTCTTGGTCCAAATACTTCCATAAAGCCTTCGGGACACAAATCATCAAGCGTTATAGAAGAAACGCAAAGCCAGACGATATAAAAAAGGGGAGCAGCGTGAGGTTTGATGAATTCGGTCGATATATCGTGGACGTCGAGCACGAGGGTAGTGCGAGTCTGAACGAACACTGGCAGCAATACTACAAGCTGTGCCACCCGTGTCTCATCAACTACGACTATATTGGATCCTATGAGAACGTGGAGAAAGACACAGCTCACGTTTTGGACAAGATAGGCGCTAAGTCGCTCATGAAATCTCCATTCATCTCGGAGACGAAGCGACTGTCGGAGAAAGAACTCATCGGCACTTATAAAACAATGAGTTCTAAAGACTTGAATAATCTGTTCAAGATTTATTCCCCGGACTACACGTTGTTTGGGTACAAATGTCCTCATTTCCTGCATCAGTTAATGGAAAAGGATACAGAATTCCATGACTATTAATAGGGGGTTTCAATAAAAAAAAATATTTAAAAACCATTAATTAGAACAAGACACATGTCACTTCGTAGAGCTAAAAGAGCTGGGAAAAATATATAAAAAACAGCATGAAGATTGGATAAACGTTTATACAACTTACTTATTACATAGACAAGAGGATGACACCAAAATGTGCTAAAATGAGGCATGAGAAAGACAACTTAGCAACAGTTTTTCTTAATTCAAAGAAAACGTTACCTGCAAAACATGTGACAATCATACATTTCCAGAAAGGATATGTAATGACCTACATGATACACAATGGTTGCGTAATATGCAAAATCACGTGACCAAAAATGGCCGCCATTGACGAAACCCACAACAGATTTTAACTTAAAAAGTGACATAACATTAATGTTTTAAGTCAAAAGTGTACAAAAGTACATATTTTCTTGATCAGCACGACTAGGGGCATCTAACAAACTGTAAAATAAAGCAACAATAAATCCATTTTATTTTTAAAAAATCATATTTCACCCCGAAAAAATTAATGTAGTTGGGCACAGAAAACACGAACTCAGAAAACTGAAAATAATGAATAGCTCGTACAAATTGCCATTCCCTGACTGATATCTCTTCGATTTTTAATCACCTTTAGCCCTTAACCCGAATTATGGGTGTGTCGAAGACGCTTGTCATCCCCCGATATATTTAAATTATTCGTGCCTGACGTTAGTGATTTTGAATCTAATTCCATAAGAATGCCAACAGTCTTGAGCAAAAGTATACATTCTTTAGATCAACAAAAAGTGATGCATCCAATGAAAGATACAACCAAAGAACAGATGGGTACAGAGGAAGAGAACCAGCGTCTGTGGTGTAGCGGTTAAGAGCTTCTTTCATAAGCAGAAGATCTAGTGTTGATTCCCAAGAGGGGAGAAAATTGCTATCTATACTCTTCAAAAAAACAAAAACGCATAACCAAGTGCATGTGTTTTCGTGATAATAAAATATGTAAAGATGAGGTTTTGTGCATGCTAGTTTCTTTCACACATAGCCTATGTGGGAGTTGTCTTGAACTTTTCACAACAAATTTCATCCTTTACTCACAGGTAGGCGCAGCCTGAGCTGTTGAATTGTGTGATAATTGAGTGTTAAAAAGCTCACAACTTGTCTAATTTTGTGAGTAGTCGCACGAAATTTGGCGTGTGCATTCATTCACTGGGTGGGTATATAATGGGCGAAAAATATTTGTTTCATCACTTGTCAGTTCAGCGATACGCCATGCCACGACTAACGATAGAAAAGCGAAACCAGACTATTGGACGTTTGCAAGCCGGAGAAAGCCAAACTGATGTTGTCACACATTTCAACGTGTCACAGTCTACCATCAGCCGACTTTTTGCAAGGTTTCAACATTCCAACTCCACTGCCGATCAACCGAGAAGTAGACGGCCAAGGGCAAGAACTCGAGCCCAGGATCGCTTTATTCAACTTCATCACCAGCGGGATCGTTTTGTGCCAGCCTCTTCAACGACCTAACCGCTTTGGAATATCATCAGAAATTCCGACCAGACAGTACGCAACCGACTCCGAAATAGTATTAAGTATTAAGTGAATTGCAACAAACATGGTGTGCTGTGTTCGATTTCTTTTATTCGAATAGTTCGAATAACATTCGTTGGGTTGAAAGAGGTGCACGGACCCCAACTTTGCTTTACTTGCTTGAACAAAAGGACTGCTTAAATTTCAAATTGCTTTCATAAGGCTTTCCTTTAGGATAGCCTAAGTGGGCTGGTCTTAGATTTCACAAGACCAGGGTTTGACGCCAGTCGTTATTCATTCGAATACGGACTGTTAAAAAGTTTGAAACTCTCTTCCCAACGACTTTTATGAAGTACCAAGTCTGAAAAGAGTTGATTGTGTCTGATGAACTGTAGAATTCAACAATTGTTATTTAGAAATTATAGTTCCGAGGCTGAAGCTATGAGCCTGCCTATGGCGTTCCACATGGCGGGTCCCAATCACAATTTGAATTTGATATCTCAATTCTTGGGTTTTGCAAGGTAAATAACTTATACATTATTACATGTGCTGTACATAAAGTATCATGAGGTGCCCTCCCTTCTATAACCTTTACTCTTTTGAGTCTCGGCAATTACATTGTCAATGACCACAATGGCCCCGTGCATGGACCGCACATCTGACGACACCTCTCGCCACCCCCTCCCCTATACCCCCCACCCCACCTCTAACCCCAAGTCGCAGTTTTATAGCTTCATGCACGAGGCCACATGGCAATGCCATACAAACAAACACCTTTACAAAGCAATCCCAGTAAAGCTGGTTAATTTTGTTTAGATGTTTTTATGACATGCTGCAACAACAGATAATTTAGATAGTATTAATAATTTTTTAATTTTTTATAATGTTACCTCTAAATCTTTTTCCTTTCCTGTTCTTTTCCATGTGCTGTTGGAGTGGGATATATGCTGTTGTCTTTAATCTAAGAAAGTAGCATACTGTGAGCCTATTTAACGCTTAGCGGTCACTTGGTGCAATAATGCGGCAGTAAAAATTATCCGTTCCAATCACCTGGCGAAGTTCTGCATCAGGCCCGAGAAGTCCATTTTGTTCAGTCACCTGGCTAGGTGACCAGAAGTGGTATTTTGTACTGCTGGCTCTGTGACTTAAAAGTGTTAAGGGCATGTCCATTCTTTCTCTCTGAAGATGTTTGTATAGAACACATAGCAACAACAACAACAACAACAACAACAACAACAACAACAACAACAACAACAACAACAACAACAACAACGACAATAAACAAACACCTCAACAACAACAACAAACAAACAAATAATAGACATATTATGATACGTCAAATTCAAATTAAAGTATCCCTAACACCGTTCCGTTGGTAAGAATTCGGTGTCTATCTGTTGTTTGAACCACCACTTTTGTGGTAGACTTTTGGTTATAATGAACTTATGAAGACTGTAAAAATCCCATTTAAAGTCATTTGCTTATGTTTACTTTCAACTTGCAAAACTGTCAATTTTTTTGCAAATGAGTCTAGCTATTATTATGTGGTGAGAATTAACACCCTCCATAATACTATCTTTTGAACATTTTGTTTTTAATTTATATAATTTCTACGCTTATAAGTTATTTCTCCTACTGTTGTCTGGAGTTTCTCTTTTCATGATACTAATCGATCGTTGTATTTTAACACCCTTGTCTAAACTTAAATGAACTACAACAATCACGTTTTGCTTAACAAGTGTATTCTCTTTGTATTGACCAGGTTTCTGAAAAGTTAAGCTCTTCCATCGTTCAAGATGCATGTGCTAATGCAACATATTCTGTTTGTGTAGAACAAATGGTATGGAAGAAGTTCAGATCCTTTGGAAGCTTAAACAAAATAGCACTACAATATTAATAAGTCATATTTTCCCCTTTAGTTGGGTACAAATATGCTAAACTCTCTTTATAGGAACAGATAGTATGGAAACAGTTTAATTCTTCTGAAAACCCTAACAATGCACCACTACAATATTACAAAGTCAAATTTTCCCCTTAAATTAAAACTTCTGTTGACTTGGAATTCCATTTGTCTTTCCGCGTTTCCTCTTTCTCAAAACTCAAAGGGTTGTGCCCGTGCTTGGTACAGTTCAGAGATCCCAAGAAGATTATATATTGTGCGTCTCTCGACGTCAAGATTTCTCATTTCTTTATGATTCATGCCAAAAAGAACCAGACACTTTCTTTTGTACAAACAATATACCAACTACCTGTAAAGAGAAGAGAGTGGTATGTTATGCCAATAGAACTGGCCTGATACAAAAGTTGACCTATCGGATCTTGAGGCAAATGCAGGATTTTTTTGTGCATCCTATAATATTTTTTTTTAATGTACCTATGTTTACTGATGGTTAAACTAGTGTTTCCACCTTATGCTGTTGCGAGCACCGTAAAACTCCATACTAAACTAAACACTAGTCTCCAGTTCACAATAATCCGAGAGGGCTTTAGAGTATGATGTGAAAAAAATAATACATATTTAGCATTATTATTATATACGATAACTACTGGTTACCTAAGGATTTCTATGCTTTATTCATTTTTAAAGAATTCGGTATTGCATCCGACAAACACATTCTAATACTCTGTCATTTCCCGCTAAAATCTCTGGGAGGGAGGGGAGCAGCATGCACCTATGTATTTCCCCATAATTTGTATACGGGAGTGAAAATGAAATTTTACCAAACAGTCCTCAGATGCTTTATTTTCCAAACAATAGTTATCGTTAATGTGGTAGTCAAATAGACACAAAGTCTGTGAACGTGAATAAGACGTCAGAATCTGGAAACGTGCCACGTTACCTCATTAATATCTCAAACTGTATAATAATGTGTGTAGCTCACCAACAGAGCCATTATTGTTCTCAAGATTCGAGATCAAACAAGCTTTGGGAATTTTGCCTCGTCGTAAGGGTATATTGGTTTATTCATGATCTCTGTTAAATATTCCATTCCAGAGCCTGCCACTGCTTTGACAAAAGTGAGCCGCCATATTCTCATCGTATCACTAGATCTTCCATTTATGTACCATACTTTGTCCTATAACTATAATGATGTACAGGGTGTTGTGGAAATATTTTCAAGGGAGGTAACAAATATTATTTACACTACTTTTTTCGCCCCGAATTCCTAGACGCATTACGCCCCTTGTTGAAAAAAAGAACCTGACAGGGAAAAGGCAAGTCAGAAATAGTGATTATACATTTTTCTTATGACCAAGCACCTGAACCCACTGAGCAAATAGGGTTGTGTCGCGTGCTTAACATATATATGTTATATTGTAGTCAATGACTATGTACATTTTGATTGTTATCTTTCCCTTAATGTTTCAAATAATGTTATCTATTTTTAGAATTAATTTTAATTGTTACAAATACTGTTACGTCATGATTACTTGAGATACGTGTGTGTGTGTTTGTGTGTGTGTGTGTGTGTGTGTGT